CAGTATAGAAATATGAGAACAGGGACTAAACCCCAGGTGTTTCCTTTCTCAGATGACTGTCATAACCATCATACTAACAAGTCTCTATTTGTCTCCTACTGAGAAACTGCAGCTGCAGATTTGGATAACACTGCATTAAAGAATAGTCTGTAATACTTTATTCATTCATCACCTCCTGATTAAAATAAAATTTGATTCCTCTGGAAAAAAAAAAGACCAAATATATTTAAGATTACAAAACTCTTGACTTGAAAGTCATCCAAATACAACTGCATGGTTGTGCATAGTTCTGATTTTCCTCATTATAAGGAAATATATATTTTGTAATCATTGCCTCCATTCGAGACTCAAACAGTAGTGCAGTTCTGAGTCTCCTAATCTTCAGTCTCCTTTAGCATATTTTCACCAGTAATGTTTATTTTTTAAATAGCTTTCCATTTTTCTGTACATCTCATGGGTATGATTTTTGAACAAATGGTAGACTCTTCTTATCTTTGGCAGTTTCCTTAATGCTCTCCCATTGGGAGACTGACACTTGTTTTGTGAAACGGATTGTAATCTCTTTCCTACAACGTATCTGTGACATAAAGCTGTGTTTAAGAGTTTCATGTTATCTTGATCTCCTGTACTCACAGTGGTTTCTAGTTGCGATGATCTGCTGCAAGGAATGACTGAAGGTTATTTCAACACTGGCAAGTTTTGAGTGTGCCATAGAACTTTTTTCACTGAATATTACTTGGAGTTTAAAATATAGCTCATAGAATCACAGAATCACAGAATATTAAAGGTTGGAAGGTACCTCTGTGGGTCATCTAGTCCAACCCTCCTGCCGAAGCAGCGTCACCTACAGCAGGCTGTAGAGGACCTTGTCCAGGCGGGTCTTGAATATCTCCAGAGAAGGAGACTCCACAACCTCCCTGGGCAGCCTGTTCCAGTGCTCCGTCACCCTCAGAGGGAAGAAATTCTTCCTCATGTTCAGACGGAACTTCCTGTGCTTCAGTTTGTGCCCATTGCCCCTTACCGTGTTGCTGGGCACTACTGAAAAGAGCTTGGCCCCATCCTCCTGACACCCACCCTTCAGATATTTATAAGCATTTATTAGGTCCCCTCGCAGCCTTCTCTTCTTCAGGCTGAACAAGCCCAGCTCCCTCAGCCTCTCCTCGTAGGAGAGATGTTCCAGTCCCCTCACCATCCTTGTAGCCCTCCGCTGGACTCTCTCCAGTAGCTCCTCATCTGTCTTGAAGCGGGGAGTCCAGAACCAGACAGAGCAGTCCAGATGGGACCTCACTAGGGCAGTGTAGAGGGGAAGGAGAACCTCCCTCGTCCTGCTGGCCACACTCTTCTTGATGCACCCCAGGATGCCATTGGCCTTCTGGGCAGCCAGTGCACACTGCTGGCTCATGGTTAACCTGTTGTCCACCAGGACACCCAGGTCCCTCTCCACAGAGCTGCTCTCCAGCAGGTCCACCCCAAGCCTGTACTGGTGCATGGGGTTGTTCCTCCCCAGGTGCAGGACCCCGCATTTGCCCTTGTTGAACCTCATCAGGTTCCTCTCTGCCCAACTTTCCAGCCTGTTGAGGTCACGCTGAATGGCAGCACAGCCTTCCGGTGTGTCTACCACACCTCCCAGTTTGGTGTCATCAGCAAACTTGCTGAGGGTAGATTCTAACTCTTCATCCAGGTCGTTGATGAAGAAGTTAAACAATACCAGAAGTCTCCATTAGTATCTGAATACCTCAGGGGCACAAGGTCCAGAAGATATCTGTACATTCAAATTCTCACCCTGTTTCCCAAATATGCCATTTTTTCACTTGCCTTCTCACTCTTAAGTGTGACGTCAGTTGTTCAGCTAGATACATGTCTCTAGTTCACATACTGACAGCTCATATATCAGCTTTGGATGCTGTTGTCTGTTATATGGCAACACATTTTACAGCACTATCTGATTTGAACTAACATGGCTATTTAGAACAGCTGTCTTTCTGTCCGTGTTCTCAGTCAGATTTGACTAGTGAGCATCAAAAGCCAGGATTTCTTTTTTTCTGACAGACTGTGTCATACTATCTGTCTTATATTGCCACTCTTGTGATTTGTAGTTCTTAAGTGAAAATGCCTGGATATCAGACCAAGTGAGCAACTGGCAGGACTTTGCCTTTGAGAAAGATTCTGCTTTGAAATGTGGTCCTTCCCTCAATCTGAAATAATCTAAATTTTTTTGACTGCAAGGGTGTACATTCTATTTGCTTTATTTTTCTCAGTCGAAAAGATTTGGGGATGATCCAAAGTGTTTTTGTTGACATGTTACCATCAGTTATTATTGATAAGGTGGTTAATGGCTATGCAGTATGCTATATTGTTCATTTCAAAGCTTTACTTTAATTGTTCTAGATAATCTGAAAATTTTACTAACATGCAATAAATATATATCATTTTGAGTTAGACACCTCTTCTGTGTAGCTTTTAAGTATATTTATTCAAGATTATTTAGAAATCAAGTATTAAATCAATTTAAACTGCCATTAAATACATTAATTCATTTTATGTAAACATTCTTATAGCATTGAAGGTAAATATGACAATTTAAAAAATTTTAATTAGTTTCTAAAATTACTATTTTCACAACCAGGTAGACTTGCATCTGTCATTTACTCAGAAGTCATGTATACTCTAGCTAACACTTCCCTGCCTTAGCAAGAAGGGACCAGGTAGAGTCATGAGAAAGTGCTTCAGTTTCTATATCTCTTCTGCCCTCAGCATCTCTACTAAAGATTGCCAGTAAATATAGTGGTGTTTCTGTGATTCTGTAATGGTGGCTTAAATTTCCTTTTCAAAGCAGGACAAGCAAAACAAATTGAAGCAAAGGAAGCAAGACAAGTCTAAAATCAGACTTGTTAAATATAGTGTAATAGGAGTAAAAATTACAAGTTATATGCGCTGAATAAAATTTTCCAGTGTCTTCTTTTAGCAAGAAATGACAAATAATGTGGAACACGTGGCTTTTTTTTATCCCTTCGTGAATTAAAAAAATTTTACTCTGACCTTAAATTTTGGTATGCTGTTATGTCATGTACATAAGACCATTAACATTTTTAACATTATAATTTTGTATGGAAAATGTCAACTCACACTGAATTACTGGATTTAGTTCTTCACAGCACTTTTACTAGTAATGAAGATCCCATAGAAATATTTTTAGAAGATGGAAATTTGAGAGATTTTTAGCTATAGGTAACAGTTTTCTCAATCTGAACTATATATATGTTGCTGAGAGTGTTTTTGTGTGATAGGGGTATTACTGAGAAATTGTGATGAAATATGAGATAATGTATCTGTGACATATACCTGTGAGTAATGAAAAAATTCCTAAATTGACTAAATGGCAAGGTTGCCCTTTCCCACTATACTTATGGGCCTAAAAGGCCTACTGGAATCCTCTACCAGATCTCCATACCTGCAGTCTTATTTTAGCAAGTTTTTATACAGTAAGCTATAATTCCTGTTCCAGCTAATTTCATCAGAAACTGTCGAGAAAATAATGTGGATCCTTTGTATGGTCAAAAAGGGGGAATGATGAAATAGAGGAGACTCATTTTATCTTTCATTTATATCCTCTACTGGTCTGGTTCTACTGGAGATGATTAGGGCTAAGTTTTTGACAATCTAAAAGCTTCATAGCAAAAAATCATAGCAATACTACGTTAGTAATATCTCTCCGTATTATGTTACTAAAAGCACAATATATGTTGGAAAAAGGCTGTATTAAATCCTCTGTCAGAGGTTATAATAATTTTTTACTGATGCTGTAGTGTGGTTCCATATTACCTTATGACAATATTTTTTGCTGAAATCAAGGCAGCTTTGACATCCAGTTGTAACCAGGAAGAATATTTAGAGGTAAATGAAAATACTGGTGCTTTTTAATACTAGACAGTGCTGCCTGTGATAACTAAATAATAATTAGTTATCTCCATTAATATTTTTGGTCTAGTGAATTTAGTCAAGTGAGCTATTTCGGTTGTTAGAAGCACTTCATTTATACGTAGATCCTGCTGTAAATGAAATCCTAAGCAAAGCTTTCATTTTTTGGCAGTTGGGTGTACTATCTATGTGCACTGCAAACATAATGATGAACAGTAACCCTTGTTACTGCCACCAAGTGGAGTATGCTCCAATGAAAGAAGGAAGTAAGCGTTGAATTTTTTTTTGCTAACACAGAAATAAACTACTGTGTTATAGGACACCTGCTTTTACCCAGTCATATGAATGCAGTTAAACAACCTAATATTTAATATTAGTCACAGACACATCATTGATCTGTAAACCACACCACACACTGTTCTGCTGATGTGAGCTATAAGATTTTGGAAAAATGTTACAACATCTAATTCTATAGTAAAAGTAAAGTAATTCAAAATGGAATTGAGGAGCATTAAAGAAAAATGCAATGGCATGAGTAATATATTCAGGCTCTTTGCTGATGCATATATGTGTTTCAGTACCTGTATAATCAAGAAAAAAAATATACTCTTATGTCTGATGAATTATGTGAGAGTTCTACGGTGCTGAAATGATTCACAACTTTGTAAGTAAACCTGATAGATTAATTAGGAGACTGACTAGTCCGATTACAGACTATTAGTCTGGGATATCGCTTTAATTGAATTAGAATAATTATATATGTTCTTTGAAGAGGAATGTCATAGTTGCATGATAATGCTTAAGGGAGATTATTCTGTTTTAAGGTAATCCTAACTGAGGCTGCTTACTGTCTGTTAGTATTAAGAAAGAAGACAGACTTGTTATAAGAAAGTATCAGTAAGTGCTAGTACTTTATTTCTCTTTTCTCTTTTCTTTTTAATAAAATTATTGTGTATCAGTTGCAACATACTGAGAAGGGAGAAAAATTCAGGAAACTTTGAATGTTTATAGTAAGTTGTCCTGCTAACTGCTAAGATGCTTGTTTTGATAATTTTATTTTCGACTCCTCTGTTTTCTTTAAGGCCTTATTCGATTACAAGAGCTCATCAAGGCTCCATCAAGGTACAACCTGAGACTAAAAATCCGTCAATTACCAGCTGACACAAAAGATGCAAAGCCATTGCTAAAGGAGATGAAAAGAGGCAAAGAATTCCATGTGATCTTTGACTGCAGCCATGAAATGGCAGGAAGAATCTATACACAGGTAATCGGTCTTACATCTAATAAATAAAAGCAATATCAAGACCTAATGGCATTTAATAAGCAGGGGAGTTGTATGGCAGTTTTGCTGAGGCCTAACAGAAAATCAGCCAAGGATTTCAGAGATAGTCTTATTGGTGACTCCAACGGTAGCTGCTTTCATTATGTTTTTTTAAAGAAACAGATTAATCGGTTCGTGTACAAGGGAAAAGATGTATCAGTCTTTCAGCTATGAGGAATTTGGAAAACTGATGCTTTAAGCAAGGTTTTAAATGCTTTCTTAGTGTTATTTTCTATAACAGATTTTTTTTTTTTTTTAAATTGAAGCCTCTAAATTGTGTACTCTTGATCAGGTAGTGATCTTTTAATAGTATGTTACCAAGCGACCACATTAATGTGTTCCACTGAGAGGACAGAACTAATAGATATCTTTTAGAGCCATATTCTGCTCACACTACTAATAGGACTGGAAAACACCTGAATACGTTTGTGTAGGTGCTTTGAAAGTGCTTGCTTAGTTGTGTACAAGATGAGTAGGTGAGATACAGCAGAATGCCAAATACTAATCTGGCTTTATATTGCAGAATCAGATATTGGTGACAGACAAGGTGACAATATAGTGGTATACAAAGGAAGTGGCTCATGAAAAAGCTTGCAGTAACCCTGAAGTATGCATAAAAGACATGCCTTTGTGTACCTCCTTTAGTTTAACAAGGTAGCTCCAAAGACTGGGAATTCCTTACGCACAGAGGCCTTTTTCCCCACAGTTTTTTGATTGAACTATGACTTGCAATAAGGAGGATAGGAAAAATACCTAAAACAAAGCAATATTATACATTTCTAATGCATAGCTTTTAGTAACTTTAATTCATGGATATGTTGTGTTCATTAGCATACTGTCTGGATTAAATTGAAAGCAAAATTGCTTTAAGATTTGAAAGTATATCTCATTAAGGGTACTTGGGGGTATTGTTGTGGGTACAATTAAAATTGCTAGTAATCATACACATATACTATCATTTCTTTGCTTTATTGTTCATTGATTATAAGTCTTTTATTAATTCCCAGTAATTTTAAACTTCTGCTTGTGGGTTTTTGCTCTTTGCTAAGTGTAAGCCAGCCTAGTTAGTCTAATTGTTTAGCCCAAATAGTTGTGTACTTTTAATTATTTTAACTTCTTAGAAATACAGATGGAAAATGTGTTGATGGCAACACAAAGGTGCAGTAGTAACAAAAACTCCTTCAAGGTATATCATTTGTATTGTACCTAGTAGTTTTTAAGGGGAAAACAAACTTTTCTTTCGCAGTATAAAACATTATGTACAGAATCACAGAATGAATCACAGAATGGTAGGGGTTGGAAGGGACCTCTGTGGGTCATCTAGTCCAACCCTCCTGCCGAAGCAGCG